GGCACCGCAGGGCTCATTGCTGGATAAACAGAAGCTGGCACATTGGCGAGTGTGAAATTTTATCCAGGTTCCTTTCAGCCTGGGAGGAAAAGAGCCATGAAGTTTTGTGGCCTTGATCTGGTACTATCTTGCAGGTGATGCTCCAGGTCTGTTACTGAGAGAAGATGCTTCTGATCACAGGGTCTATCTCCTTGAATCTTAGCATTGTAAGGGGTCTGCGAAGCCATCCTGTCCAAATGCTTGCTATGGAAAAGGCAGGGCTTTTTAGAGACTGATGGAGAGTTCATGATTCCATCAATTAATTAAAGATTACATTGCTTTGCCCGAGATCTCAGGAAATCCTTCTCTGCTCAGCAAATGATAGTTCTTTCCCTGCTCCCTCATAATTCCACCTCTGACTGCCTCTTATTTAAATAGTCTGCCCAAAGATCCATAGATACCTTCTTGTACATTTTTCAATATTACACATTTTTATAAGCATTTTGGCAAGCAATTTTTCCAGTGAAGAAAACATGTTTCTGGTTTTTTTGTTTTCCTGGGCATTTTTCACCATCGCGTTGTTTGTGTGCTATTTTCCATGATGAAACACAGCAGCTTCTGGCAAAATCACACAAATTTGCATAATAAAATACGGCAACATTTCCAGATAATTCATGAACAACAGCAAGTTGTAACAGGATGTAACTAGTCATGTAAATAGGCTAAACATCTCACAATAACGATGAAACAATCCACTAATAATTTGCGCTAGGGTTGAAAAAGGGGAAATAAAGTTAAAAATCAAGATAGCAAGGGAAATAATCCATCTTGTCTAACGCTAAATGGCTTTGGTTTTTTGTTGTTTTTCCCCAGTAGATGCATTATACCTAAATGACACTCAGGGCTGTTTATCTCTAGTTTGAATGCTTGGAAAATCTGTCTGAGTTTCTTTCCGATAGGGATTTAACTAGCTTAACTAGCTTGTACCTTTTGGAGTGAATACAGACGTGGACACTAATAAAGTACAACCCAAACTCGCCCAGTGATTCAGAAAACCCTTCAAACTTGCATTCCACACGCCTGTGTACCTTTGACAATATGATTTCATTGATGAAAGAAGAATGCGTGTATTTAAAAGATATGCACAGTCAACACAGAAATTTTCGTGCAGATAGGAGAGGAAGAAAAACTTGGAATGTGCATTCAAGTCAATTCAGAGAATTTTGATGGGCTTGCCACTTCGCGCCATCCTCGTTCCAGTTGCTAAAGTAAGTCCGGGTGGCCTGGTGGGAGTGATTCAGAAAGAGAAAAGTCGGGAAAATACAGATTTTGACAACTAGTCAATGTTCAGGTTGAGGGTGCATAAGCTCCACCAAAGTTCAAGGCATTATTTGTTGTCTGTTATCAGTTCGCTGCTTTGCTATCGAACCTTTATTGTCAACGGCAACGGCCCTCTCCTAGAATTGAAATCTGCTCTGAGGAACTATAAATAGTTTTTGAGAAATATTCCCTTTTTCATCCATCTCCCCACCCCTTCCCCCAAGAGAAAATCAGAGTGACATTATCACACACTTGAGAGCCTAGATCATTCCCATTGAAATGCAAATTTTGACTTTCTAAGAGAGGGGAAGCCAGGGCTGCATTTCCATCACAAATAATTAGCATTGATGGGGTGAGTGGAGAAAGCATTGCTTTAGAGACATCTCGTGGAGGGGGGGCATCCTTCTTTCCCATCCCTTCCAGGGTGCAATTAGGTAATTTTAGGCACTGGATTTAATAGCCTTCTTTAATAGGGGAACGATTTTGATAGCTATGTGCATTTCATTACTTACTTCCACATGTAGGGTGGGATAAACCCTTTCGGAATCTGCCCCTCCAGAATCCGTGGACCATCTCCCATGCTTGGCCCAGTCTGCAAAGCAAGCTGAGCCGCGACTCACAGGCCCTGCTTCCACAACCGGCAACCTTCCCCAGTGGTAACGGCTGCAGGAGGCAGAAGAGGGGTGCATGGAGCAGATACCCCAGCTGCTGTGCCCCCTGACCAACCTCACAACATGCCCACCATGTGATAGGCTAGACATGCTCATGGTGGGCATGTCAAGAGCGGAGCCGGCTGGAGCTGGGGGTCAGACTAGATGACCCAGGAGACCCTTTCTGACTTGCTCAGTTTCTATGTTTCTTCCCCACTTGCTGTCGCCCACAGCAGTGGTGGCTGCAGGAAAATGGCGCTACTCTCACCACACATGGGGCTTGACTCCTGGAAAGCCCCCAGGAAGGCAAAGCCTGGTCTGCTGCAGACTAAAACTTGAAAGCCTCATTATCCCCTCTTCCATTTACAATAAGAGGTAGAGGTAAAGGTAAAGGTGAAGAAGGTAAAGGTAATGGCTTCCCCTTGACATTAAAGTCGAGTCATGCCTGACTCTCGGGGGCGGTGCTCACCTCCGTTTCCTGGCCGAGGGAGCCGGTGTTTGTCCGCAGACGGTCTCCGTGCTCATGTGGCTGCATGACTAAACAACGAAGTGCACGGAACGCTGTTACCTGCCCACTGAAGTGGCACCTTTTTATCTACCTGCATTTGCATGTTTTCGAACTGCAAGCTTGGCAGGAGCTGGGACGGAGCAACGAGACTCGCCCCGTTGTGCAGATTCGAACCGGCGACCTTTCGATCCACCAGCCCAGCAGCACAGCAGTTTAAACCACTGCGCCACCACATCCCTTCAATCGCCTCTGGTGGAAAAGCCTTAGCCACTTAGAGCCAAAACCTGAAGCACCGACAAGAAGGAATGGGGTTTGTTAACGAGGCTGCTGATCCAGCAGACTGATGTTGCCACGCCAGCTCCGAAAAAGGCACTAGCTGCTCTCACTGGTTCCCTCTGTCATTGGCTGTATTGCTTGAAAAGTCTCAAGAGGTGTTGTTTTTCCTGCTGTCTAATAGCAGATCTGAGGCAGTGTTTGCTCAACCATAGCTCATAATCAGCCAAGGCCAAGTGAGGACTAGATTTCCCGGTGCTCAGTCCAACAAAGGAGGACCAGTTCTCTAGTGTTTTAGTTCAACATCCCCATGTTTCTGGGGGTCCAGTGGGTGGAAGATTGTTCTTTTCACTAGCCAGACCTCATCTGGAGTACTGTGTCCAGTTCTGGGCACCAAGATTTAAGAAAGGTGCAGGAAAAATAGAGCAAGTCCAGAGGAAGGCAACAGAAATGATCCAGGGTTTGGAAACGCTGCGCTGTGTGGAGAGAAGGAAAGAACTGGGCAGGTTCAGCCTTGAGAAGAGAAGACGGAGGGGGGACATGATATCCCTCTATAAATCCTTCAGATACTATCACAAAGAGGAAGGCCCAGGTATCTTCTCACTGATAAAAGAATGTAGGACAAGGAATAATCAAGTCCAGTTGCAGCAAGCCAGATTCAGGCTGGACGTCAGGAAAAGCTTCCTCATGGTCAGAGCGATAGGGCAGTGGGGCCAGCTGCCTGGAGAGGTGGGGGCTCTCCCACACTGGAGGCATCCAAAAAGAAACTGGGCAGCCCCCTGAGTGGGATGGTGTAACCTGGTGTCCTGCAACAGCAGGGGGCTGGACCTGATGGCCTTTAGGGCCCCTTCCAGCTCTCTTATTCTGTGATTCTGTGAATACAAACAGAGCTGGTCCTCTCATGAGGCAGGGGGAGTCCTCAGCTCAGGCTGTAGACCACCATAAGGGGAGGGCTGCAGCGGCTAGCAGGGATATTTGGCATGCTGCCCATTCCCAGCCTCTCAGACCCGGTACGGCATGAATGAATGACTCCTTCCCAAAATGCAACCAAGCCAAGGCAGCTGAGCACTTCTGATTGAACCGAGCGACCTTAAAGCAAACGGTCTCTCCTGGGCAAAAAGGAGGACCCACTTCCGCTGCAAAGATCAGTGGCTTCTTGGAAGCCTGGGACCTGCTGCGAACATGGATTATCAGGACCATTGGAAAGCTAGTCAAAGGGGGCAGCTAGGTGGCATCCCAATGGGGGGTTCATGATGCCGTGGGGTGCGAGTGCCAGCCCCCCATTCGGCCTTGAACTCAGTGGCATTAAGGAGGGAACAGCCAAGTCACCTCCAGAGCTTTGATGAGAGCTTTGCATGGACGCCAGTGGATCGGAGGTGCTTCCTTTTGCAATGTCCTCTGGAGCAGAGGAAATACTCCAAGACATAGAAACAGAGCGTGTCAGAAGGGGTCCCCCGGGCCATCTAGTCTGACCCCCGGCTCCAGCCAGCCCTGCTCACGACATGCCCACCATGTGCATGTCCAGTCTGTCTTTGAACACCCTCACCGATGGGGCTTCAACGACCTCCTGGGGAAGCCCATTCCACACCCTCAGGTCCTGACTGTCAGGAAGGACTTCCTGGCATCCAAATGGAACCTGGGTTCCCTGAGCTTGGCTCCGTTGGAGCGCATCCTGCCTTCCTCTGCAGGGGAGAACAGGTCTCTCCCCACCTCCGTGTGACACCCCCTCACACACCTGTATGTCGCCAACAGATCCCCTGAATCTCCTCTTCTCCAGGCTAAAGAGACCCAGTTCCCTCAGTCTCGCCTCATACAGCATCCCCTGCAAACCGGCCGCCAGCCTTGTGGCCCTACACTGCACTGACTCCAACCTGGCTATATCCTTCCTGTAATGAGGGGCCCAGAACTGAGCACAATTCTCCAGTTGCGGGCGCACCAGAGTTGTGTAGAGTGGCAGTAACACCTCTCTCAATCTAGACGCCACACTTCTGGCTCTGCAACCAAAAATTATGCCATGGGTCTTTCCATCCAGATACCAGCCTTTTCCCTGTGTTTTTTCTGCTCTTAGAGGGATCAGTTGGGAGCAATGCTTTTGTCTTAGGGAAGAAGTCTGTGTGCCTTTGTGTAAATGTACCGGGCATAGAGATTGGTATGACTAAAGGGAAGAAGAGGATTTGCAAAGTGTGGAGTGAAAGAGGAAAGCAGGAAGAGGGGGAAATGTGCAGGAAGGGAAGGAGAGACGGTGGGTGGATGGGTACAGGAAGAGCGGGATGTGCACGGAGGAAAGAAAGACGGGGATACAGAAGGAGAAAGTCAAGAAAGGAAGGTTTGTGTACCCCTTGCTTCCAGTTCAGAATCCTGGGTCCTGCTCCTCGTTCTACTGCCTTTACAGGTGAAACAGGCAATTACAAGAGCAGGGCCTTTTCAAGGTGGCACCTCCTTTCTGGAGTATTCTCCCTGAAAAAAAAGTAGCAAAAAGGTGACTCAGGCTGACTCCATTGGCTTTTCGATGCAAAGCAAAGGAATATTCATCTTCCAGGCTTTTCAAGGATTATCAGAGCTAATCTTGTTGTTTTCTGTTGCTGCTGTGTTGACAGCATGTCTGTGGATTAAGAGGCACTGGGAAAGTTTCGCCTAAAATGCAAGCTACCTGGCTCTTGGGGTTCTGAGACAGCTGTGCCCACAAACAACAATTGTGGAGTAGTTTCCCTTCTTTAATGCATCCTGCCCCCAACTCCAAAGGTCGAAATGCTTCTCTGAAGGTTAAAACTTTGTATTTCATATAAAGTACGCTGGTGTTTTTTCTCCACTCCCCAACTGCAGCCCCCGCAAAAGCAGATTTTGAACTTCTGCACAAAAGGCTGAAAGAGGTTTTGCACTCCTGGGTTATTTGGAAAATAAGTTGTTTGTCCAGGGAACAGGCTGGGGGAGGAAATGAATAACTTTTTGCTTTCTGTGCATTGCAGGTCCCCTCCCACATTGCAGTGGGGCTGGAACGGTTGAAGGGGAGTGTGGGGGAGACGAACTGGGTCACAATCACTGCTCAGGAGTAGAGCAGAACAACCTACTTTTTAAGCCTTTTAAGAAGGCTCTTCTTCTTCTTTTTTTGACTCCTTCTGACTCAAACCTCAGTGCACACCTTGAACAAAACCGCTACACCGAAAGCACCCTGGCTGCCTTCGTGGCGCATAGCCAGGAGGTGCTCGGCTGGAGCAAGGTGATCTGCCGTGATCCTAGCCCTCTTCCCTCCGAACTACGAAGCCCATCACCCCTGGCCCCTGTGAGGTGGTAGATCCCATTGAAGTCCAGGCCCAATTCAAGGTGTTGGTGATGACCTATAAAGCCCTAAACGGCTTGGGTCCTGGTTACCTGAAGGAGCGCTTACGTCCATATATGCCCAGCCGCCCCCTGAGATCAGCGGGAGAGGCCCTTCTCCGGGAACCCTCCATGAAAGAAATTAGGAGAGTAAGTACTCGGAGGAGGGCTTTCTCAGTGGTGGTGCCTAAGTGATGGAACGCGCTCCCCAGAGAGGTCCGCCTGGCGCCGTCGTTATTTGTTTTTCCGCGCCAGGCGAAGACCTTTTTATTTAGGCAGCATTTTAAATGTTAATATTATTGAATTTTATTTGGCCAGGGCGGCTTATTTTATTCTAATGTATATATTTTAATTGTTATTGTTTTAATTTATTGTGTATTTTTTCTATGTTGTGAGCCGCCCCGAGGCTTCGGCAAGGGGCGGCATAGAAATGTTTTAATTAATAAATAAATAAATAAAATAGATCGATGCTTCCAGACGGTGCGGGGTTGGAGAGAGGGGTCCGCCATCTGCGCCCGGCAGGCAGCAATTCCGTTTTCATGCGCTGGTTCCTTCTCTCCTTCCTTCCTTCCAGGTTGAGGATGGCCTATGCAATGGAAGAAGTTAGCCGCTGGCCGGTGCTTGGCTACCTACTTTTGCACGGCTTGGTCCTGGGTAAGTAACGCAGGTTCACATTGAATGGGACTGTGTGTGATCCGACCTGGTGCTCATGGGACTCGGCACCCCCAAAGACACCTCCCGTGAGGGTGGCCCATGCAAAGAGAGGCACTGCCTCCAGGCCAGCTCCGCCCCACTTCCGGAGAACAGTCCTTGGAAGCGTTCTCTCCCCACCTTTGCCTGGTCCTCCGGCAAGTTCCATTTCCTTCAGCCTTGCTTCAGAGACACTGCAGCCACCATTTTTATACACGGGGAAGGCAATTCTGTTACTGTGGTGACCATTTTCTGACAACACCATGCAGGGTTTATTTTGGTACAAATATGCACAGAATTGCACTCTGACTGTGTGCTTCCCTTTGGCTCTTCTTCTAGCCTAGCTGATTGCTTTGCTTTGCTTAATGTACGAGATGGCAATTGGGTTTGAACCTGTGGTAGACTATGAGTAGACTCTTGTGGAAGTTAATGATCTGCGTAGCCAAATGAAACATCCATAAGCAGGTGCAGTCTACCCCCAGTTATCAGATGCAATGGGAGGGGGTGTCCCTGGAGGTTTCCAGGCAGAAGCTGGGCCACCATGTAACACTGGATTTCATGCCCTAAGCATGGCAATGGAGCACATGTCTCCCCTCCCTGCCCCCACTTTTTGGTTCCTGGAAGGAACAGGGCTGACCACTGTCAGAGGCAGGATGCTGGGTTAGATAGACCTCCCTTGGAGTATTCTGACAGAAGTCCTCTTATTTTGCTTTATAAACTCCTAAGGAGAAAACCCTTCAGTGTAGAAGTGTGGTGTTTTTAATTTCTTACTGCTATGGTCAAAGAATTAGTATCTGACCAGAATTCAGGCAACCATGAGACTCAGCATCAACAAACTATTGCCTTTAATTTTTCCAGTCCTCATGGTTGCAGTGATTGGCACTGATATCCTAACTGAGGGCCTGTCCTTACATGGCACACACTCTGGGACCAAACCAGTGGGTAATGCTGATTTGAAATTTCTCTTCCTTTGGATTTTCCTTCTGGTTTTTGGAGTTCTAAATTACATGGAATTGATGCACCGTGATTTTCTCTTGTACTATTAACCATGCATTGTACCGTAAAAAATGCAGCTTTGCATTCCTTCTGTTTATTTACATCTTTCCACCTTCATCTGCTGATGCATAGCTATGAGTGGACAACACCACACAGAAAGAAAAACAAAAGAGAAGTAATCTTGGTGGAATCATATCTGAAATGTTATCAAGGCTCTTTCTGGTCGTTTGCTGGGCTTGCATTCATAAAACACCGGAAAAGCAGAATAAAATCCTCCAAAAACCCACATGTGCAAGATGGTGGCAGCCCGGGGCCAGGAAGCCACTAAGTGCATCTTCAGTTTTCCTTGAGCTCCTCAATGGATGAATAGCACCATAACTGTAGCAAGCTCATTGTCTGATATCTTTTCCTACTTTTTAGCAAGACTGAGAAGCCCAGATGTGCATCAGTATGTTTTTATTTAAATAAAAAATTTCAACCTAAAAAAAAAAAAAAATCTCAACCAAATGTGCATCAGTAAAATGTTACACAGGAAGAATCTCAACTCCATCGGATCTTCTTTGTTGTTGACATTTTAGTGATACAGATTATCAATAATGCAGAGCATGGAAGAGAAAATATAACAATAACCTGAAGTAATTAAACACTGGCAGGCTTCATGCAAGATTATGATAATCCACACTCAGGAGTTGAGCATGGGTCATTGCCAAACCATGGATTATTTGATTGTCCAAACCCAGCCACTCTGGCAAATCATGGTTTGTTAAACACGAGCAACCCATGAAGGTAACCCGTGGTTTGTTGTAGGGTTATGAACTGTGGGCTGTTCATGGTTAAGAAACCATGATTGGTTACTGCAATCCATGGCTGAATGAGAACCCATGCTGAACCCTCAAAAATGGATTATCATATTGACACAGGTAAATTGATAGTTTTGTCCCACTCAGGGTAATCTGGCTGCAAACATCCATTCTAGGACTGAGTTTGAGTTGCCCAAGTGGTGCTCCACTTCCCTCTTTCCTCTCCTGCTTCATGATGATCTGCTTAGTTGCTCTGTTTTCCTAGCCTTGGCATTGACAGGAAGCAGAGCAGTCCCCACCAAGCTTGGTAAACAAACAAGCAACAAATGAGCTGTAAGCTGCGAGCGGCAAATAATGTACAGATTATTAAGTATTAATGGAAAGCGGAAAATCAGCATAAATAAGGAATGAAGGAAAGGCGGCTTCAATAGGCTGTCCGGCCATGTCAGCAGGGCCGTTTGATGCTCGCCAGGATCCGATATCAGGTCTGAAATGCAGGCTTCCGGATCACTCAGGGAACCCGTCACTGCTCCTTTGCCAGAAACAACAGGGTCATTCTATCAGGGGGCTAAAACCAGGGCAGACAACCTGCAGCATTCAGCATAATTTCCAAGGCACAATTGTGTCACAACCCTGGCAGGAGAAATCCGACCCTCTCTCTTGAGGCCAGAGGGTGAGAGTAAGGCAGGGTGTGGAGAAAGAGAAGGGGACAGAGAAGAAGGAGAGGAAAGGGCAGTAGAAAGAGACAGAACAGGGGTGGAGAGAAAACAGAGGTAGGGGAAAGGGGTGGCAGAAAGAGAAGATGAGACGGGATACAGGAATAGAGAGAGAGAAAGGGATAAACCAAGTGAGGGAGGCATCGAGAGTGGGAGAAAAGAGATAAAATGCTGGGAAGTATCACCTGTTTTTCCATCCAAGAATTGCACCCTTACTCTTCGATGGTCTAAACCAGGGGTCCCCAATACAGCACCCTTCAGTGATGCCCCTGGAACGGTCCCCCATATACAAGGGCTGGCGGCACCTGAACGGATTTGTTTTTAATCATTAGGCTTTTTTTCCATGGATTCGCATGAAAGCCATACAACTTTCTGGCAGTCCTAACTAGGGTTTTAACCAAAGTGGACCAAACATATCCCATATCCCATTGGATGTTTCCATCTCATTTATATATCAATCCACATACATGCATTGAAAGGTCCCCAATTCATTGCATTATCCAAGGAGAATTTTACCGGAGAATCTGCTTCCCCATCTCCATGAAGGAAGAAAATATTTTTAAAAGCATGCACATTAGTGAATATTAAAGACTGTCTCAATGCAAAATTTATCCGTGTAATAACCTACTCCCCAAATTTAGCAATTACTGGACATTGCCAAAACATACATTTAAAGGAATCATTAGCTTCACTGCACCAGGGGCAGTAAACCAAACGAATCAATCCCTTATTAAGAGGCATTGTCATCTCTAGCATTCACACACACAAATGCTTTTTTGCTGAATGTGACACAGGCAAAGGACCACGGATCTGACAGGTAGATCCCTGAGCAGGGTTGCACACAGCAGCTTCTCAGATTCCAGAAGATAGAAACAGAGAAGCAGAGCGAGTCAGAAGGGGCTCCCGGGCCATCTAGTCTGATCCCCGGCTCCAGCCGGCTCCGCTCGTGACATGCCCACCACGTGCATTATTTATTTATTTATTTATTTATCGATTTATATCCTGCCTTTTTCCTCAAAGGGCTCAAGGCAGCTTACATCATTCTCCTCCATCTTCTCCCCACAACAACAACCCTGTGAGGTAGGCTGGGCTGAGCATCTGCGACTGGCCCAAAGTCACCCAGTGGGCTCCATGGCCGAGCGGGGACTCGAACCCAGATCGTCTGAGTCCCAGTCCCACGCTCTAACCACTACACCACACTGGCTCTCACACTGGCATGTCCAGCCTGTCCTTGAACACCCTCCCCGATGGGGCCTCATCCCCCAGGTTGTCCCCCACATTGAGAGTCCAGTGTCTAAAATGAGGATGAAGAACTTGGTTCTTCATGTATATGTTGCTTTGTGTGTGTAGTGAGGCCTTTTCCTTGGAAACTGGAAAAGAGGGATCGTAGCTCACTGGGAACGCCCAGGTTTTACCTGCCCAAGTGCCCAGGTAGAGCACTCAGCATCTCCAGGTGGGGCAGGGAAGAGCCCTCTTCTGTGTGTGAAGCCTTCCCTCCACCTGGCGATGCCCCAGGTCAAAGCGGCGGAGCTGGAGTGGCAGTGACTGCAGAACCCTGACAGCCACATTTTGCTAGGTCAGCTGGGGCACTCTTTACGAGAGCTTTGTCCCTTGAGTACAGCATTTTGCTTTCCGAAAGGGCCTGGGTCCGTTCCTGCACTCGCCGGCTTCTTCTGGGATGGTCAGATCCTGAGAAGGCGGCCCCCTCTGCTCTCAGGAGGGACATGAGATCCAGAGGGCGGTGTTGAGGGACAGGGTGTGGAACCCAAGGTGGAGAGCCAAGGATGAGTGTTCGCCCTCAGCTGGAGGACTCCTGGGGTTGGCCATGGCCCAGGAATGAGGTGCTGGAAAAGACCCTTCCTTGGTGGAAAAGACCCTCGTCTAGATGCTTCCGGGCAAAAGGGGTGTTTGCAGATAAGACTGCTTGGATGTCACCGTAACTGGCTCCACGCTTTTGGCTCATCTTTTCCTGATAAGGCATCCGTTCCCCACTCGCTCTGGGTTCCCCAGGTAAAGGATGGAGGCACAGGTCCTTCAGGACCCAAGGCTGATCACCTCCATGGGGGAGACTCCGTGTTCTGGTGTGAAGGGAGTGGGGGCAGCTGATGGGATGGGACCAGTTCCCCAAGCAGAGCTGGAGTAGTGGGTCTCCCTGTCAGTCTGTCCTTCCTCCACAAAGATCAGGTTGGTGCATATGCTCCCATAACCTCAGAACACTCCTGCAAGGTAGGTTACACTGAGAAATGAGGATCAGTTCAGTGTCGCTTAGTAGGTTTTGTCAGCGAGTGTGCAGTGGACTTTTGAGCCCTTGTTTCCTTCTACCACTTGTTCTATCTCCCTGTCTATCCTCTCTCCATCTCTCTCTCCCCCTCTCTCCCCATTGCCTCTTTTGCCCCACACAACAGATACCCAGACAAGGAAGAGTCACTCCTGCCAGAACTCTGAAAACAAA